AAAAAAAAAAAAAAAAAAAAAAAAAAAAAAAAAAAAAAAAAAAAAAAAAAAACAACAAAGCTGGGGGAAGAGGTGGACACCTTAAATGGAATCTCCAAATAGTCAGTGTTATTTTCCTCTCCTCCCAGTCATATCCATGCCTCTCCCCCTACCATTTCCCCCACTTAGAAAGGATCTTGAAGTTCTGATCCTCTTGCCTCCGCGTCCCCACTGCTGGGATTCTAAGCATGCACCCTCTCGCTCGGTTTCTGCAGTGCTGGGAATCAAACCCAGGACTCCATGTCAGGAAGGCAAGCAGTCTGCCAATGGGGCTCTGTGTCACTGTCCTCTGCCCACCCCCCACGACCCCTTTTTTGGTTTTGTGCTTATTTCGTCTGTCTCTCCAGCTAGATGTGGCAGTTCCATAGGGAAAGATGTGCTCATCGGGTTGGTCCTTGGGACCCTGGAGCCCGGAGCCCCCTCATGGCAGGTGTTGACAGGTATTTGTTGAGCCCGTGAGTGAGCAGTCACCTGCTCTGGGGACACTGCTGTGGCCAGGGCTCTCAAAACACCACAGCTGCCGTGCAGAGACTACAGGATATAATTGGTGAGGCATTTCCGGTGGCCACTGCTCAGAGGCCCAGCGGGGATGGGTTTCTAGAAGGCACGGGGCAGGCCTTGTCCATCACCCGGTAAATAACAGCTGGCCCATCTGCCGCAATCCATTTCAGATCTTTCAGAGGTGCTTAACCCTTGTGAACTCGCTGGCCTCTCAAAGCTACTGTCTGGGGCTGACAGAGCCCACTTCACACAAACATGGGAGTCGGGCATTGGGAACCAGAGGTCACACAGCACTGATGAGAGCCAGGCTAAGTCCTGTCTCACAGTGTGGACTTGAAGCCTTTGCCGCAGGCACACCCTGTTCAGGGATGGGCAAGTTCTGCACATACGGCCACCCTCTCTACAACTGACTGCCAGCTAAGAGGCTCGCCTGTTCACACAGAATGTTCTGGAAGGCCAGTCCCCAGAGTCAAAGTGTGTCAGAGGCACAGGAGGGGAGGCAGTGAGAGTGTGGGTAGAAGCTTGAGCTGGGGTTCAGGAGAGTTCAGCGCCATTTACCAAGTACCTCCCGTGTGCCAGACTTGACTGTTCTTGCCCCCACTTTACAGTTGAGAAAGTTGAGGCCCAAGAGATTAACTCACCTGTTTACGGTAGGGCAACTCTGGTAAAGTCTCTTAGCCTTTACCTGGGTTTAGTCCCTACCAGATCCAACCAGGCCTGCCTAGCTCAGACAGAGCGTGATGGGGAAGGCAGTAAGCAGGTTCTAGAGGACGCTGTGACATAAAGAAGGGTCCTCTTAGATGGCTGGGAAAGGGGCAGGTACCTCCCTGCCCAGGCCTCTGTGGGTGGAGGGTTCAGGGGAGACTAACTCCCAGGGCCTCGGCTCGCTGACTGACTCATCCAATCCCAGGAATGCGGGAAGGCGGCAGATGCCATGAGTAGCCCCCAGTCCTGCTGGAAGACTATGGAGACAAACACTAGAAACCTGACCCAGCTTGAACTGCTTTAGGAGAAAATCCATTCTTGGGGCTCAGTTGCCGATGTACTTCCCACATAAGCAAGGTGTCCCGAGTTTAATCACCGTAGAACCTATGTACAAAGCTGGGCAGGATAGCTCAGTATAACCAGCTAGTCTCAGACGTCAGTGAGAGACCCTGTCTCAAAAAAAAATGTGCACAGTGCCCAAGAAAGAATGATACCTGAGTTTCTCTTTAGCACACATGCATGGTCTCGCATGTGCACGTGTACACACTTACACACACACACACACACACACACACCTATCTGGGTCCTTCCCCAGGTGGCTATTCCTTCATTTGCTCTGAGTTCTTCTGTAGAAGCATGCTCCCAGCATCTCGGACCCACCCACAGGGGAGGGATTGGAGGGAGGAAAGGGCCAGAGTCAAGGCCAAATGGTGTCTATCTAGGGAGCCTGCCGTACTCCCTGGAGCCCAGCAGATGGGATGGAGGGCTGACATCGTAATGTAGCAGGAGAGATGGCTGGCTATGACTTCACCCCTAGAAACAGTTGCCGGGTAGGTGGTAACTACTGATGCCCTGGCTTCAGGGATGTGGTAGCAACTTCAGTCTGCTTTACCCGAGATGTCACCTGACAGCAAGAATAGGTGTCTAAGGGACAGAGGAATCTGGAAGCATTAGCCTGGCTTGGCCTTAGGAACCATCAGTGGCCTGTGGTGCTGTCTGTCTGTCTACATCTCTTCACCTGGTCTTCGAGTCCATCCAGTTCCTGCCTCCATGAATCTCTGACAGCGTCTCTGTGGTCATTTATGGGACAAGGCATGGTGGAAATCCTGGCCAGATGAACACACACTTCTGTCCCTATCTGGCCATGGGGCGGAAGAGAGTCCCTTCCCCCACTTGACCACACTTTCCTGTAAAACACAAGAGCGGATGGCATCCGTGAACCTGGAAGTTGTCCAGTAACACCTGTAGGAGGCGCTCACTAGTCCTGTCCTAACCATGGGGCTCTGCTCTTTCTTGTTCCTGACAAACATGGGGCTTCCTGTAAGAGGTCTTCTAAAGAAAGGCCTTGTGGCAGTCCTGTCCTGCCTGAGGTGACTGCCAATGCCCATCTGGTGTTCCCAGTTTGAATTCTACACCTGGGGAGAGGCCTGTGTTCTGTGGGACCCTGTAGGACAGTGTGGGGGGGGGGGTTCCTTCCTCCACACTGGCCAGAGGGGCTATTTGGAGCCAGAATGAAGGTAGCATTGTCCCATGATCAAAGGCTGTGGCCTCCTCCCTCCTTAAGTGCAGTTTGGGGAGCCCCCGGTCTGTCCCCAACCAAGCTGGGGAGGAACTAGCAGGTGCTAAGCTGGGCAAGGCTGGGAGAAGGAATCTTCTAGAGCAGGGGTTCGCAGCCTGTGGGTTACAACCCTTTTGGGGAGAAGTCAAATGACTCTCAAGGGTTGCCTAAGACCATCAGAAAACACAGCAAACACAATGTTTATATTATGATTCATAACAGTAGCAAGATTACAGTTATGAAGTAGCAGTGAAAATAATTTTACAGTGGGGGGGTCACCACAACAATGGGTCACAGCATTAGGAAGGTTGAGAACCACCGCTGTAGCATTTAGTGAGCCTCCCAAAGTTATT